AAAAAAAAAAAAAAAAAAAAAAAAAACTCCTCCAAGTCATCCATCTTGTTACACTCACAAAAAAAAAAAAATAATACAATAAAAAAATGCAAGAAAATAAATAAATTAAAAAAGATAAAGGAAGATTACTTAACCATTCTTAATTTGCAAAAAGAATTTGAAGACAAATATGAAGAGGAGAAATCATTCAGGGAGACAATCAAAAGCTACCACTCCAATGAGCTAGGCAAGGATTGTTCATACGCAGTTTTCTTCTTTCGTCTTTTTATGAAAGGAGAATACTTAAATGGGGAAGCTCTCACGGAAGCATTGGCCAAGGACAATCGGAAGGATGCTCAAGTGCCAGACCACCTGCCTCTTCCCCACTTAAGTCAGTCTAACCCAGATCAAACATCAAATATAAGAAGCAAGAATCTGAAGAAGTTCCTCGCCTTTCTTAATGGAAGGAACACAAGACTCCTCATGTGTGATTATTTAAAAATTTTAATGAACAATATACAAAACGAAAATGAAATTAGTACAAACTTCCTCATCCTCGAATACGTCGCTTCACACGAAACGAACCAGCAAAATGATTACACACCAATATGCAACACATACAAATTAAAAGGACACGTAAAGGAAGAGCACTCCACACTATCCTACTCACTCAATTCTGTGAAGGAAGCAGATGGAAGTTCTCTTCCAAGTGCGGGACCCCTCATGGAAAATTCGCAAAATCAACATGTAGACAATAATGCAGATGGAAGTAACACACAAAAAAAAAATAATAAAAATGTCACAAACTCGGCCGAAGTAACTACCCATGGGGGGGATAGAAGCGAAGAAGCGATTGCCTCCTCAGAAGAAGCCACACCAAAGGGTAGTGAACACAGGGAAGGAGACAATGTGACACAAAAAAAGGCAAATACAGATGTTGTACAAATGAATGAACCCTTGTTTAACAAAATCTTAACCAACTTTGTAACCGAATTGAGGAGTTTCTTCGTCTCCCTACTTGCAAAAATACAAACTAGCCAAATTGTATCACAACTCATAATTGCCTTTGCAGAAATCTGCCTCACCTTAACACCTTACTATGTACATATAATTAACTGTATAGAAGTTCTCTCCGATTTTGCAAATATAATTCCGATCAGACATATGGACCAGTTCATCAGTTTCTTCAAAACAAACAAAAATATCTTCATTGAAAAATACAAAGTGTTTCAAAATTGTGTTATTTTTAATGACCCTATAAAAACGCAGTCGGTGGGAGCTAGACTTATTGGCTTTATAAAAAATTTACAAAAAAAAAATTACCTAAATAAGAAACAAAAGTCAAGCAACGTTTTCTTTCTTCACATGTTACTGTCTGAATGCCTGCCCATCAACCACCTTGGCTTTTGCAACAGACAGTCTGCAAAAAATAATTTCCACCTTTTCTTTTACGACTCCATGACCCGTTGTAAAAACGCCTCTACCAATGAGTCCCTTATTTTTAATGACTTCGAATTGGGCATACAGGAAAATGCCAAAAATCACAACAAAATTAGGGAACTCATTTTGGCTGAAATGGACTCCTTGTGTCGGCAAGCCCCCCCCGACGGTGCCATGTCTTGCACTGCGACAGAGGCCAAGACGGACGGAGATGAGGTCGATCATCATCACGACGACGACGAGGGGGACAAAGGCAAAAAGGCCCCCACACATGGCGGCGACTCCAGCGGAAAGCGAAAGAGAGACGAAGAGGACAATCCAGACCAAGTCACCCACAGTGATAAAAAAGATAACAAAAGACAGAAGCGGAACAAAGTAACTGAAAATACAAATGAAGAAAATAAAAATTACAAAGCATACTTGGCATACCTCTATCTCATCTCCTTTGTCCGCTACCCTGAAATGTGTACAGCCCAAAACTGTGCACCACTGGAAGACGCCTACCACTCATTTAACCTCTTCATGGCACATGTGAAAAATTTAAAAAAAAAAAATCTCACCAGTTCAAAAATGGTGAAGGAATATTTATACAATGCCGATATTGACTTCCTGGGAAATGTACACATTTACAATTTACTCATTCGTGATAAAAATTTCCTTTGCGTTTTCTTTTTTAACATCCTCCTTGTCCTCAACTACCTCAATATTGAACTCAACATTTTAACGCCCACTGCAAATGAAGCCTCATCCAATGAACACAAAACGAATGATTCAAAAATGAAAGAAACAAACCGCTCGAACACTTCTACACATAATGTAGAACCCGCAAATCAATCTGCATCTGCCCACTCCTTAGATGCAACAAAAAGTAACGAAGACAAAACTGCCACCTCTCCATTTTCACGCAACTCCGCAAGAGCATACGCAAAAAATAGCAAAGAGGAAACATCGCACATGAGCAGCAACACAAGCAGTCTTAACACCAAGGGAAGAGATAACGACTCCGCTCAACCAGGCATGGCAAATACAAGTAGAGGTAACCACAATGGCCCCAGAGAAAGTAAAGATGTCAGGGACAACAACGCAAGCGATACAAAAGGTAATGATCACCAATCAGTTAGCGAAAGGACAAAACATATTTTCCATTCATTCGTAAAGGATTTATTACGTTATCTAGGGAACTCAAAAAGCTTGCATTTCTTTATGAGCCTTCTCGCCTCCGAGTACTGCTGGTACACGTGGAAAAAACAACTCACAGGAAAACCGACCAAAGAAAATTTACAACCCTGTTTCGAATTTATACGTATGGAAGATCAATCAAACAGCTTCATAAAAAATAAAAAGGAGAAAACGAATATTAGGGATAGCGGCATGGTCGATGAAAAGTCCTCTCCTCTGCACAGTCTCATTCAGCTCGTACATAATTTTGAAGTGCTAAATGAAAAAATGAAAAATTATTATCTAGCCAATTTGGATAACCCTAATTTGAGAAAGAACCCATACAAGTACACAAAACTGATGTGTGCAAATTGTGACAGTGGTGTGAAGCGGGAAATGCAGTCATGTATTGGTGATACAAATGAGAGGGAGGATAGCCAGGTGCCTGCCTCAACCTCGCGACAAATCTGCACCAATGCGGAAGAGATGGACCAGATAGGGCACCTCGCCAAGGACACCATCAATGACACGTCTGACGTAACTACAGACGAAGTGGATGAAGCGGATGAAGCGGCCGACGTCATGACCTACCCCCAAAACCAACGAGACATACGAAAAATGAACAACTTCCTCCTCGAAATTAACAAAATTTACCTCGGCAGACAGGCCGAGTTCTGGGAGCTACACGATACGGACTCAGTTACAGATTTGAAAAAAAAAAATAATGAAGAAAAAATTCTAATGGAAAAACTAATTGACAAACTGGAAGACTATAAACAGAAAATGCAAATCGATAATGACCCGGTTAACGAAATTGAGGAAAGTGAAAAAAGCAAAAACGACCCCGTCTTCAAATTCAGACTAGCCAAATTGTTTATCGTTAAGTATATTGACCTGTACACTATTGTTAAGGATAAGGAATTTTCCACCGACTGTGACTTTTTGTACAATTTGATGGTACACATGGATAAAAATTTGGCCAAAAAAAAAATTCTGCTCAGCGCACAGGAGGGAGAAGGGGGCGATGTAAACGAGGAAGCCGACGGACAGGAAAAAGAGGAAGGGGAAGAAGCTACAGCGGAAGCCGAATCGGAGCCGAAAGAATAGCCCCAAAATGACTTTCCTCCCAATAAGACTTTTTAGCATCACGCCTATTTTGAAAAACCTGCAGAACGAGCGCAACCGAAGCAATGTAAGGAAGCTACAGGGACGTCGTTTAATGTGTGTACCGCTTCATTTGGCTTCATTCAGCTGCTGCGGGAAAAATCACATTCGTATTTGTAAAAAAAACAAGGAGACCTAAACTGCTCACACAGCAACGTAGGTGTAAGGGTGTGCGCGTATGCCATTTTGTAACTGTCGCATTTGAGGAATGTAGCAATAGCTCGCAAGCGCGTACCACTATTTTTAGGGGCACCTCCATGTAATATGCGCGGTGCGCGGTTCGTCTACAGGCGAGTAACGCCGCTCGCGTTTGCACCTGCCCTGCGTGCTGCTCATTTTTTTTTTACCCCCGTAGTGAAATGTGCACACATAAAAATATGTAGCAAGTCGCATCCCCAGTGGTGGCCACAGCCCGTGGCTACCTTCTTGAGGACATATTTTTTTTGTGAACCTGGACCAGGAAAAATACCTTTACAGGGACACGTACCCCTATTCGTTTTCACATAAGGGTGTAGTTCACCTTGTTTGCCTCATTTGGTCAAACTTTGTTTACCACCTTCATCACTGCGCGATGCGGTCGGTATAAAACGCTTCAACTGTTTTTACAAAACCAAAGCGCGTGCACTCCTTCGGTGTAGAAAAATCATTGTTTTTTTGAAAACAAAAAAGAGGTCCACTTGGCGTTTGTTCACAAACAGTGCTGTGATTATATCATCGTGCAGACACACGCGTCGACAGATGTGTGCTCATGCGCAGCCACGTATGCGTACGGGATCGGTACATGTATTTGCTGAATGTACGCATGGTTGCATGTACGTATATACACACGCACAAATTCACAAGCGGGGGCGCGCTACTCTTATGGAGCAATAAACAGTTAGTCGGCATACAGGTGTAGACTCGCCTTGTACGAGAGATCTGTCTTGCCATTGTGCATGTCCACTGGTCTCTGTCGATAGGGTTCAACAGAGCCACACGTCATGGCACAAGTGGAAACCTTTTTTATAACAAACAAAAGTGTAGAGAGCAAAAAAAAGTAAAATCATAAAACACATTTGCGCAGGGATAAAAAAATGCTACATAAATGTAAAAGTAAAATATATGTACAAAGCATTTTCGTGTACAACAACACATTGGTGGGCCTTAATTTTTGATGCGCCATCGGGGAATAAAAATTTAATAAAAAAAAAAAAATGATCAAATGGCATGGATTATCCAAAAAAAAAAAAAAACAATGCCTAAAAAGGAGAATAAAATTATGAACGTGCATACGATAAAAAAAAAAAAAAAAAAAAAAAAAAAAAAAACAATTACCATAAAAATATTAGTACAACTCGCTTCCTTGCCTCACAGATGCTATTGCTCTATCGATCTGTTCAATTCTGTTTTCGCATCTTTGCGTGTTTCCAAATTTTCCCTCGAATGATTTACGCAGGTGCATATCTGTCTAATGTTTAGCCATCTATATAGATAGCTGAGCTAGCCATATGTGTGCACTTTTTTTTCTTGCCTTTTTGCCTGAATAGATCATAAGTTATGGCTTGCTTCCGTCTACACGTCACGTTCAGAATTGACCATTTTTTGTGTAATTTTCTGAGACTCCCATTTCGGCGTTTTGCTTCACTTGACCTTCAATTTGCGAATAATCATACGTGGTTGGCATGCCGTTGTTCTGCTCGTATATGTTTGGGTCGTAAGAGTTTCCATTTGCGTACTTTTCGCTCATGTTCTGTGGAACCATCTCCTGTCCATATTCCATATTGTCTGGGTTTACATTGTACGGCTCATAAACATTTTCTTCGTTGTATCCCCCCTGTTCATCGTCGTGTTTTACCTCGGGCAAGACGTCTGCGTTTATGTCTCTGCTGTGCAATTCAGGGGACCATTTTTCTAGCAGTGGTTCGAAGGAAAAGGCCCAGACAGTTGCGCACATTATGGCACCCAGGAGCAGTATAGAGAAAAAAGCTCCAAATCCGGAAAATACCATCAGTAGTTCTGCAAAAAGGGACAAAAAAAAACGGGGGGGAATAGAAAAAATCAGGTCGTGAAAAGGGTAAAACTAATTAAAAAAAAGAGTACACACATAGGGAAATGTCCACACGGTGGCACCAGCGCAATGTGCTGGAGAGAGACACTCCTTTCCTAACAACGTACCGGCCAAACCTGCCAACTTGAATAAAGTCAAGTTGGACCAAGCGAGCTCCTCGTAGGTTCCCTCATCGTGGTAAGCTTCCATGTAAAAAAACGCAGCGCCATATATGAACAAAGCAAAGCTGTGCACAATGCTTCCAAAGTGTAACAGTGTCCAGTCTGACTTGGTCTGTTGGTATCTTGCCCACCATCTCATGCTCATGTAAAAATATGCATACAAATACTGAACTAATCTCAAAATGGAGGATAACAGATCTAAAGTCACAGCTGCGGATAATAACTTAGAACCCGCCCTGAACCCTCGACACCATTTGCTATTATCTGCTACGAACACTTGGAACATAGCTATGTACAAGGTCCCCAATAAATATATGGCCATCAAAATAGAAATGGTTAAATGAAATGCACTGGACACTTTTACGCACTCGGGACCGGCATATAAATCAAACACAAAAATTCCTGTACCACCAAAGGCCCAATAAAATATAAACATAAGCATTAAAGACACACACTGAAGGAAAAATCCGGTCCTTAATAAATGGGAACTAAAATAACCTATGAAGGGGGTGTGGTTTTCCCCTCGAGGGCTTGGCGACTCATCATCTGCTCCATACTGATTTTCATATGGGGATGGGTACTGAGGCTGTGGCAAATAGGTGTCATCTCCTTCTACTCCGTATGTATACATTTTCGTGAGACGCAAATTTGTACGTACTTAATTTTGTATGAATATTGCTTGTTATGTTTGTTCCAAATGGCTATGCCAAATGCAAATTTCAATTGCTGCAGGGGGGTGTTTAATCAATTTGCACACACGACAAAATAACGTTGCTTCCTCGCGATAATGAAAAATTTTGTACCTATGTGTGTGTAGACAAACGTTCGCCTGCGGGGGGACCTGCTGGGTGTGGGCTGTTTTAATTTTCACTTGACTATTCCGTTTTTTGTGGTAAACATTTCTGCGATTACGAACCGCTGTAGTTCATTACGAGTCGCAGAAGGTGAACGCAGCGAAGGAAAAAGCTCGCAAAAAAGGCGACGTAAAAGTGTGCTGCAAAATAGGCACGCAAAAGGTGTGATACAATGCGCCGCATACAAAAAAAAAAAAAAAAAAAGGGCAAGGCAAAATCTCGACGCAAAGGGGCGAAAAAAAAGAAAAAAAAAAAAAAAAGCTCCAAAATTCCTAACAAAGCGTGGGAATTAAAACTTAAAATAACATCAACAAAGAAGTTCGCAGGCGGGACATGTAACCCTATGTGCACGCATGTGTGTGTTTAAAAACGCTCACACGCAATTGCATATACGGGGGGGAGGGATGTAGCGGAAAAACACTCTGTGTGCGAAATGACAATCAGTTACGCGCCAAAAAAGTGAGCAGTGCGAAGAACGCCTTACGTGGTTAATGTTTTCTTTTGTGTGTACATATCAATGGCGCTCGCTTTTTTAAAATTCGTTTGTGTCCTGCGCTGGTCAAAATGGGTGGACATTTGTTCGTATGCTCATTTGTGCATGTGTTCATGTGCATTTGCGCGTTTGGACATTTGCGCATGGCAAGTGTACATTTGTACATTAATTTTTGCTTCTTCACAAAAGGGAAAATTTTTCCTTTTAAATAGAAATAAACACAAAAGGGAAAAATGTACGTTTCACAAGTTTGAAGTTTAAAATGCCAGCGCGCGGAAAAATGGAAATAAATGGAAAAATAGGAAACGAAAAAAATTAGCAAAAAAATGAACACATTCATGTGTACGCAATTCTGTGCGGGAGGAATTTTATCCTTTTTTTTTTTTTTTTTTTTTTTTCTGTATTGGCCGCATCGCTACACAGTGCGGGCAGAAAAATGCTGGCATGAAGTTAATCATTCCGATATACAACACTACCCATATATATGCGAATGTACGTACCCATAGCACCATGCATGTCCTCAGCAAGGTTTATAACGCGCTTAACATGGTCCTCTGGGCCTTTCCACGCATTTTGTAGAACAGGCACCATGCAGCAGCATTAGATAGACGTGGGCGGCGGGCACTGCCAAAAAAACCTTAGACCAGCGAGTACGATATACAGAACTAACCTTCACACTGTCCAAGTAGGACACTTCCTTTTTGTTGTTTTTGCACATTACCCAGGTTAATAAAAACGGTTTCTCAACCTGTTGACTTTGTTAGGGGCAGGTAAATTAAGTACATGCATTGTACACGTCAGACCAGAGTGACCTTTCTTTTGTACCCGAACAGCGCTTATCGCTTCATAGTTCACGAAGGAACGCATGGTCGCACAAGAACATATTTACACAAGTGGGACCATGTAGCTTAACCATTTTGTTTGCCCCATTGTGTTCCTTCATTTTAAGTCCGCAAAAAATGGAGGCGGTCAGGGGAGGTCGCAAATCGTCGATCAGGGCGCACAAAAAGAAAACGAACAAAATATTACACCTGACAAAATCACGAACGGCCCCCACAAACATATGCATGTTCAATCACACACGTGGGAAACGTCGTGACAACAGCAATCAAGTCAAATTACAACTCTTAAGGCAACGCTGACCATTGCACACAGTGGGCTCCTTTCACATGAGACATTCCTATTCAGAACATAAATGCACCACTATAAAGTAACCGCTCCAGAAAAAACCCTGTTTCGTATGAACCGTTCATGCAAAAATGATAAACAGTTCAACATTGTTTATGAACAGGCAAGGCATTTTTGTTTGTTTGTTTTTTTTTTTTTTTTTTCGCCTAGCTAAAGCTTCGCTTGACTTTCGTAGCAGGACATCATTGGGGGGCCCATGG